ATATATATATATATATATATATATATATATATATATATGATTATTTACATTGAAACTAAGATAAGGTTGTTATTTACCACTTGTTACTTATTATTTTTGTCATTTGATTTGAATACATATCTCTAATACATCTAATTGGTTTGCTTCAGAGGACATCCTGCTGTAACATGTAGATATTGTTCGCGAATATACTCGACGCGGATAAATCTCGAAGAGCATGTGAAGTCACGGCACGCTGGTCTATCAGCACCTCCGAACATGGCGGTTTCGTTCTTTCGCTCGGAAACACGTTATCAATGCAAAACGTGTGCAAAAGTATTTTCGGATCAAGCAGATTTCAACGCGCATAGCCAGATCTGCACAGAAGAGCAGCGTATTGCTTTACTCGAGAAAACCGAGCCGCAAAACAATAAGAGCTTGGTCAATACGTCCGATATCTCTAGCATAGACACGGATGATGAGAACAAAGACTACAGGAACGCTGAGGCTAAACTGGCCAAAAATCCTCAATTGACTATATTGAAACAAGCGTTGACTAAAGGAGAGAGTCTAAAGCGGGATTACGACGATAGCTCAACGCCCGATTGCAAGCCAAGAAAACTAGCTAAGACAGGTAATTATCCAAACTCGACACACATAACAAACAAATTTCGCACGCCGAATTAAATCTACTTCATACGAATATATTATTCTTTAGATAATTGCGAAGCGAATTCTCAGAAGAGATGGTATTGCGAAGCGTGTCCGCAAAGTTTCATGTCCGTGGATAGTTTAAAGGAGCACGAGATCACGCATGAAGCGGAGAAACCTTACGTTTGTATACTGTGCCAGAAGGATTTTGTTCTGAAGTCTTCATTAAGCAGACATATCGTGACGATACACGGTGTCGATCCCACGCCTATCGTTGACAGTGATAAATGTTTGAAAAAGACCGTAATGCCTCAGAGTTGGAATGATCAAATGGACGTCGGCGTTTATGACCAAGACGAGATAAAGGAGTCGCGAGAGTTCTCGTCGTCACCTGAGGTAAGTAAAGAGTTCTTTTTGCGACTTTAAATAAAAATGTTCGCTTCATTAAATAAAATCGTATATCATTACAATGTTATATACATTTCCTGATTATATGTGTATAAATATTTCCTGATTATATGCAGGAAAACTTGGAGAACGATGAGAAAGATTCCAAGAACAATCACGAGAATATGATAGAAATAGAAACAGTATTTGTATGCGAAATTTGTACGAGAGATTTTAATGATCGCGCATCGTTGTGGCTACATATACGAGCGACACATAAAGAATTCGCCGCATTTGCTTGTGGAGTATGTTTGAAAATTTGTTCCGACAATACGCAGCTTCAGAATCACGTTGTTATGTATCATGGAGGATCCAAACTTTTAATATCGGAACAAAGAAGGTACAGTTGTCTATGTTTTTTTATACTGTTTAAACGAACACTTATGTAATTACTATTATATACTGTTGTTTTAGATTATACAAGATTTCATTCTTTATTTATAATCATACAAATATCATACAAATTGTTTTCATCATACACGCCTGTTTACTTTTACGAATGTAATATTGAAATGTACTTTGCGATTGATATATACAGGTACAGCTGCACAATATGTGGTAGACAGCATGACTCGAGGAAAAAATTGATTGCTCATGTCTCTATACACCATGTCGATCCTTCGTATGATCCTGCACATTTTGTACAGTTAAATAGTAATTATTACAACGAGAACTTAAATGTTAACGAAGGAAATGAGCAAGTATTGGATTTCGACGGTGAAGATGGTGAGAAGGTCGACTGTTATATTTGTAACAAATCATTTCCCAACGAGGATCATCTTATACGACATCAGAGAAATGCTCATAAGGTAATTAAAGTAGAATTATTCGTTAATTTTTCAGCGCGAGTTACGAAGATTTTTGACAAAGTTATAGTAACGTTGCCTATAGTAAAATGTGGATTTAAGAGAGCTTTTTATTTCTCATATTGTAGTCTGAACAGGTACTTCCAGTAGATGTTACGGGAAGTGGAAATGTACTCAACGTCAACGGTAATGGCAATAAAGCGCAGTATCATTTATTTTTTGTATGCGAAGTTTGCGGCAGTTCCCATTCCAGTAAGTGGGAACGTTGGTTGCACATCAACAACACGCATAACGACGTATCTGCCATTAAGGTAAATTCTAAAAACAAAGGAAATAGAGATTCTTATCGTGCCTCTTCTGTCTCCTTTCTTTTTTACGTAATTATTTTGGCTTTGTATCGTTTTAGTGTGAATTCAAGGACTGTGGGAAGATATTCGCGACGAAATTGTTGCGCAACGAGCATATCCAACATCATATGCTTCAAGGCGCCTCGCCCAACACCTGCGAGGTTTGCGGAAAACTGTGGGCCACTCGCGTCGATTATTGGAAACATGTAATGGGAGTACATTCGGACACAGTGCCTAGGGTTTGTGGTGTTTGTCTAAAGATATTTTCCGACGTGGTACAGTTAAGCAGACACGTAAAGGAGAAACACTGGCCGCTGACCGGTGGTGATTTTTGCTGTGATATTTGCGGTAGGCCCTATTCCAATAAATCAAAGATGTCCCGACATAGGAAGATACACGGCTTGGAAATGGACGCGTGTGATAATAGCAGCATTAATGAAACGACCAACGAATCGTCCAAGCTCGATCATAACGGTGCTGTAGAAGTCGAATTGAGTTGCGATCAGTGTCCGGACCTCAAGTTCTCAACGCTAGACAGTTTGTCTAATCACAGACGTCTAGTGCACAGTCTGTTTCCGTGCGACTTGTGTAACAAGTGCTACGGCAGAACGTCGCACTTGTGGAAACACGTAAACAGAGTGCACAAAGGTCACCCGGATGTTACTTGTCCATATTGTCTGAAAACCAGCGCTTCGAGGGATCACTTGATAGCGCATGTCGCAAAGAATCACAGGTACGAGCCCAACGTGGGGAAGGACAGTATGAATTGCATCACCCCGAAATCGTCTAGCATTGAGGACGGCGTCCTACATTATTGCGAAAAATGTAACAAAGGATTCCACAAACGCTATCTGCTCAGGCGTCACATGAAAGGCTGCCAGAACTATCGCAAGGATCCCGGCGCTTTGTTGACTCGTTGCCGGGCCTGCGAGAGAATATTCAAGGACCGTGCGAGCCTGCAGAAGCACATCGAGAATCATCACACTACATATACCTGCCATTTGTGTAACGAGACGATCACGTCCAAATTAGGTATCATGACACATAATCGCGTTAATCACATGGACCATCCGGATCTGACCTGCGACTATCCGAGCTGCAAGAAGCTGTTCCGCACCAAGGAGGACTTGGAGTCGCATCGGAAGGACCATAAGCACCACACTAACTTGAACGTTTGCGACTTTTGCGGTGATACCGTAGAGAACAAGCTGAAGCTGAAGATGCACGTGTTGTCGTTACATCGAAATGAGATCGGAGTATCATGCGGCGTCTGTTTGATACCCATGAAGGATCCCAAAGATCTGAAGAAACATGTTGAAGCAGAGCACAGTGGTGTTCTCTCCAAGCCGAACACGTGTCAGGTGTGTGGCAAGCAGTATGCCTCCAAGTGGAAAGCTTTTGACCACACGAAGAAGTGTCATGGCAAGGTCTTTCTTACGTGCAAACAGTGTCTGGCGGTCTTCACGGATGAGAACGACATTCGCGAGCACTACGAGCATGTGCACAACGTTCCCAAAGACCAGTTAGCCGCCTTCGAGTACAGAATGGATCTCGGCGCAAAAAGAGAAGGCTACGAGACTCCCGATATCATTGTGAAGGAGGAACCGGATGATCTTGAGTTCGACGAGGAGTTGTGTGACGAGGACTCAAACGATTCTAAACGTAAACGATTGGTGAGTGACACATACGACTGCGAGATGTGTCCCGAAATGTTCCTCAATTCTGAGACCCTTTCCAAGCATTATCAGAACGTCCACAACACCGATCCGGTGCGTATGTTTAAAAAATTCAAGAAGGATAACGGTAAGCGCAAAATGAGGAACAGAAACAATTTCGAATGTAAGAATTGCAAGAAGCAATTCTCCACTAAGACCTTATATTGGAATCACATTAATGTGTGTACAAGACGTAGCGTTTTAGGTAGATTAGACGTGCCGAATATTCCGAACTCGATCTTGGAGTCGCATTTGAAGAACAACAATCAGATCAAGCGGGAGGAGCCGATGGTGATGACGAACGAGTCCAACCTGAACATTCCCGACTTCAACTTATTCGAGGACATTAATATGCAACTGTCGGCGCAGAAGCCGGTGCCGAATCTCATGCCGTTGTCGCACGTTAAGCCGACAGGTAATACGGGCAAGTGCTCGAGAAAGGACTCACGCAAAGTGTACGATGAATCGACTAATACAGAGTGCACATGCGAGGTCTGTGGTAAACAGTGGCCTGCAAAGAAGCACTTATGGCAACACCTAATTCGCTTCCATCGCGCTGAGGCTGCTGTCACGTGCGGTGTGTGCTTAAAGCTCTGTAAAACTTATCAAGATCTGGCCGACCACTTGAAAGCCGCTCACGCTGCCATTCTGTCGTGCGAAGGTAATAATTTCACATGCAAGACCTGCGGTAGATATCACAACGCGAGAAGTAAGTTATTATTGCACATGAGTATTCATATCGGTATTACTGGAAATTACCGGTGTCAGAAATGCCAGCAAGGTTTCATGAGCGAGGAGAAGCTCACTGAGCACGCGGCGAACTGTAATGGTAAGTCGGAATTTGGAGATCACGCGGAGGACGATAACACCGAGAAGAATGACGATAATGACGAGAAGGGTAGTTTAATCGCAGATGAGACGTCGGTGATCGGTGATGGGGACGAAGGAGATTTTGAGTCGGAAGTTGAAGGCAATGAAGACATCCATGAAGAGGACAGTAACAGCGATGATGATTCGGAAGACAGCGATGACTCGGATAGCAGTAATAGTAGCTCCAGTGACGAAGAGGGAGAGGGCGAAGAAGACGAAGAGAACGAGTCCGAGTCCGACACGAGATCCAACAGTAGAGCGACTGGGGACATGTCGTGTAATTCGGAGAGTGTCGATTCCGACTCGGACGTGGAGATAAACCCGATGGAGAACAAAACTGTAAGTGACATTAATAGTTTCAGGATATGCGACGATAATATGCAGAAGCAATCCATGGGAAGGAACGCTGACAATGTGAGAGCCCCGACGGTCGCGGGGCAAGCTCAGCAGAATAATATGAATAAGCTGTTGGGTTCTCACGCGTCTGCAGATACGGACAATTATAATGCATTATATCTCGAGAAATCCGCTGAAATCACTGTGCACGATGTGAATTTATCCGAGGATGATGATGAAGATGACGATGATGAGGAACATGAAAATAATGGTAATGACGAGGGAGAGACAAAAGAAGAGGAAGAAGAGGAAGATGATGATGATAACGATGATGATGATGATCAGGATGAGGAGGAGGAGGAAGAGGAGGAGCAGGTGGAGGAGAAGGAGAAGGAAAAGGAGGAGGAAGAAGAAGAGGAGGAGGAGGAAGAGGAGGAGGAGGAAGAGGAGGAAGAGGAGGAGGAGGAGGAAGAGGAAGAGGAAGAGGAGGAGGAGGAAGAGAGAGAAGAAGAAGAAGAAACAGGTGAAGGTAATATTGATAATGATGATGAGAATGAGAATGATAATGATAATGTTAATAATGATGCTGATGATGACAAAAATGAGAGCGATGACGATGATGACGATGACGATGACGACGACGATGATGATAATGAGAACAACGATGACGAAGACAACGATGATGATGGTGAAGACGGTGGTGGCGATGGTAATAATCATGGTGATGATAATGATGAAGAAGAGGAGAAGGAGGAACAAGAACATGAAGATGATGATTATGGTGGTCCGCCCATATTAAGCCCAGTAATACCGCAAGATAACGGGTCAGAGGAAGAGAGTGATATGATGGGCCACACGAGGCACAAGCTTAGTCCTATGGTACCACTGAGTATGCATGTAGATCACAAAGATCTAAACGAGTGTGAGATAACGGAAATACAGAATGTAGACGCGGAGAACGTAGACGCTTCCTCTATTTCGAACGCGCCAAATTTTTTCGCAGCCAATAATAATATCCTACGTGTGATCTGGGGCGAGGACGCGGTCAACGCGGTGGCCGATGACGATCGCGATCGCGATTGCGATTCGGACATTGGCGGTATAGAGGTATTGGGTGGAAACGGGCAGTTCTGTAAGATGGAGACGAACGCGGAGAGCGACGAATTTGAAGAAGATTCTATGAACGAGCATGAAGAGAACGTGGCGGAGGACAGTGGTAGGGACGGAAGCGATCAGATGCATTGCAATCTGGATGGGACTGTGTTAATGGTGGCTAATGATTCGGAAGGTAATCAGATTTTGATCGAACAAAACGTGTTGACCATAGATAACGAAGACTCTAACGCCGAAGCGGCGCAATATATTTATCCAGAAAGTGCATATGAGATCGCAGATTATGCGAACGCACGAAACGAAAATGACGGCATGCAAACGGATGAGATGCAGGGTATATCGTACATTCAGGACTCGTCGGAGAATGAGGAGGACAGCGTGGAAGATGATACCGAGGAGAATGGTGATAACACGCGAAAGTAGGACACGAGTGCCAAAACTAAAAGAGATTTAGGATACATTCATATGCAGTAATTCTGTAATATATATATATAAATATATATAAAGTGTAAGATAATCGATGCGCGCCCGAGCTGGAGTGTTGGCTGAAGCCACCAAAAAACATGTCATATGTACCTTGAAAAACGATACAATATTGTACAGTATAATTAAGGATGTAAGGAATACCTGTAGACTTTTTGATAGAGGATACGCGCGCGCGAGAAGGTGATGATTCACATACCGCGGAAAACGTGACTTTTTCGTTTTCATTGATCTGCTGAGACCGTTGCATCCACGACGTTGACACTTCACGCGTTATCGATTGCGAACTCCGAAAATAAAAAGCGAAAAGTTATAATCGAATCTTTTCGAGAATTTATAACGAGTATTGTTAATTTTTGAGTTGACAGCAAAATTGTACTGCTACGTAAGTAATACGTTATATAGATTATTATAAGAAAAAAAAAACTTGCTATTTGCGGTATCTTTTTTATGCTTCTGATTCGAAGAAGGTATTAAAGACAAAGATTGATTACGGAGTATTGTTTATTTACATCGACAGCACTTCATTGACAATAATACACCGAATGACAGTCCGCGCCGTTCTACGTGAGATACCATCCGTTAGACAGTAGGACGCGATCGTCACGAATTTATCAATTTAATTAATGACCAAGTAGAGAGACCTATATATTGCGTTACTTGGTTTACTTTGGAAGATAACTTGAGGCAAAATTGATATTTACACAACGGATATAAGTCTAAATTGTCTCTTTTTTAAAAGGTGAACTTGTCAGATTTGAAAACGTTTGATAAATTCTACGTGAAATTGTAGATCAGTAATTTCCGAAGCACCTTGGTTTACGATATTATATAGTCAATTTTTGAAAAGAAAAGAAAAAAGAACTTTTAAAGTTAAGGAGATTCTTTTTTTCTTATTACACATTTTCGTGTTTTTATTATATTTATTGTTCTTATTATTAATGAATAGTGTCAGTTGTAACTATTACTTAATAATAATGGGACTATTATATAATAGTAATAGAAAATCGTTTATGTTATTATTAAGAGATGATAGTAATAACTATTATCTATATATGTATTTTTGCTTATCATTTTTATATGCATCATACGTGATTTATCTTTGAACGTTGTTGTATTCAAATGGCACTGATTTTTTAAAAGAAGCAATTTCCTAATCTGATGTTACATTTTCTCGTTGCAATCAACGCATGCATATATTATTTATAATTGTGCAAAAATTAGAACAAACGAAATATTGAAGATTCTCAGTTTTAAGTCTTTCTTAGAAAATTGTCTATAAGTATATTTAAGTGCTTCGGAAATTACTCAACAAACTTTGCAATTTGACGTTGATTCTATTACAAAGTCGCGTTGTCAAGTCTGATACTCACTCCATCAGACCATATAGCTGTTTACGAGTCAACAACTTAACAGAATAATTTAGAACCACGTAAAGGTAGCAGGAAACTGACGATTACGTTGGGAAAAAGAAGTATTGCTGCGAAGTTTTAATCAACGAAAGAGAAAAAATGATAAAATGCGTTGATTTGAAAGCCGCTATTTGTATGTAATTACTTCCCAGACTATTTTCATCCATTAAAATCTTACAACTTCATTTCCTGGCGTTTCTCTCTCTTTCTTTTTGTGTGCACATTCGTTTAATAAATTTAGTTTGTTATCATAGTGAATAATATAGTGAAACTCGATGAAATAACGAATTATGCGCAATTTAAAGAAATCCTACATGTTATAATGGAAACAACAAAGTACCATCCACATTTTACGTTAAGACAGACTTAGCATTCTACTAGGGTTCTTCTATCCAGCGTTACGGAGAGATGAAGAACAAGCGAAAACCGTGCATTCTCGATATATTTTTATGAAAGCAAAAGTTAATGTAAATAATAGTGTTAAACGGTTAATATGTACAGTTAATAATAATAATAATAATAATAATGTGTGTTTGTACGTGTGCATGGGTATGTGCGTATGTCAAGTAGTGCAAAAGACGCGACTGAAAACATAAATAAATAAATAAATATATATATACGTACACATAGATATATACATACATATAGATATATGTATATATATATGTGTGTTCGTATATATATATATTAAAGAAAGAAACGTACCTCGATGATAATATTAACAATTAGTTCAGATTTTAGAGTTATTGTACGATTGCTTTGTATTATATTAATTTATCTCCTTTGCAGACTTTTTTTTCTTTTGTTCGGGTTAGACACTGAACCATCATAGTAACAGTATAGGATCGTTATTATTATGTCCGAAATGAGAGATTTTTTGGTGTATAATTTCGATGTTTTTTTTTTATGCATGTATAATGATGGAAGGTTAGAGGAGACGCTGAACGCGTATTTCGTCTGTTCATTATCGTCGATTTCTAACAATTACATCAGCGATCTCGTCCCCCGCGATCTTTTTTTCCTTATTATTTATTATATTCATTCCAAACTAATTTTTAAGGTACGTTAGATCACACGAACGATCATACAACCAATTTGCCATTTGTATTATATGATTGTATATGAACAATCTATCCAAAATGTTGCGAAAGGAGGTTGGAATTGGAAAATATTATTTAGGATAAACGATTTTTAACACTGTGTCGTATTCAGTATTGATCCCATACCATTTTTAAATAGTGTCCTCTCTTCTTATACAGCGGTTAACGATCTACACGCGACGATACGACGTTTCGAGTAGAAGTACAACTAAATGCGAATTATTATCACACTTTAAGTTAATAGATTATAATGTTAAAAAGAAGGTATGAAGATATCGCGATGGACATTAATGTCGGTCCCGGAGTTAAACTGCAGATTGTTCGGTCTAAAAATGGAACACGTTAATTACGATTGAGGAGTTTGTAAATCTGGAATGGACATCAATGTCGGAATGTGGACTTCCCATTTTCCAAAGTTTTACCTCGCTCTGCGACAGATTAATCGCGAATCATATGTGTTGTGTAATACAGACTTTACAAGGAAATTATATATAATTTCTCATAAATTATCATTGTCCGTATTTGTTTATAACTCAAAAATTAGATAGTAATAATTATTCTCCAGTGTTTTTGTAGAACCACTGAAATTTCTCATTTCATCCTTCCTCAATTCATCCTTTCCTACAATAGGAAATAAACAAATCGACGCGGCAAATTATTAATATAAATTATTAATAATTACACATAGAATCATACTTATCTCAAAATTCGAAAAACCGTTAAGGTTTCCTCTTCGATGACCGATATACAGGGTGTCCGATAATTCACTACGGAACTGTGATGTATAATATTAATATAATTAATTCAAAATTTTATATAGGTAGCAAAATAATAGTGGAATTTTTTATTCAGTTTGATCTAATCTACCTGTATACCGCAGTTTTGTAGCGAATTGTTAGATATCTTGCATAAGTATACGTATAAAACGGCGTTTAAAAAAAAATTCAACAAAAAGTAAAATTCGATATTCAATATATTCTAATTTAAAGCCGGGATTCTGTAACTCATTATGCAGTCGTTGTCGTATGTGTTAATAACGAATAGTTGCGCAGCTTTTCTGCCATATGTTATATCTGCGCAACAATCATTATTAGCACATAATGATTACATAACTAATTACAGAATCCCGGCACTGCAGGCCTATTCTATAACTTTTAGGGCTGGTTTTTCAATGACAGTTAGATTTCAACTTAAATTCTGTTTAAACAAAACAAACGCATTGTTAGAATAGAGTTTAAACTTGAATTCAAATTTAAACTGCTATTGAAAAACCGGCCCTTAACGACACTGTCGTTATTGTTACGTTGTTGTTGTGCAAGTACAATATATGGTAGAAAAGCTGTGTAATACGTGATGCTAGTGACATTGTCGTTAGAAAATTACAGAATAGGGTTATTAGGTAGTCACAGCGACCATATTGGATTGATGACGTCAGAAGTGAGGAAAACCATATCCAAAATTCCTGCAAACCACGGTTAAATAAAACAATATAACATTTATATAATATTTGCATATTACCTTTTCTGTACACTTGTGAAATGCTTCGGACACTTCTCTGTTGCTGAAATAACTCTTACATAATCGCGAAATAACTTTCGAAAAATCGCCTCATTTTGACAGGAAATCGACTGGGTGACTCGATGCCAAATATGACTGAAAAACTATTTGTTTTTAATTTTTAATTAAATATAACAGTGTAGTGTATCCAGAGCATTTCCACATTTCCATAATTGTGGCAGATGTGACATGCATGCACTACTCAGTAATAACGCTGTGATTTGTAGGAAAAAAATTGGTCGTCTATTTACATCATTAAGTCTATACGTTTTCAATGAACTTTTGCAATACCAGTGCAATAAATTAGAGAGAGATAAGTATACTTTCTTTTACTCAAACTTTCTCTCTTATTGTAATAGTTTGCATTAGTGCGAAAATTCTTTGGAAACGCACAAATCAATTTTTCCGCCTAATAGTTCATTTTGTCATTTCACAATTATGTTGCCTTTCACTTGGTGAAAGTATTTTCAATTCAATGCATCCAATTGAGAGAAAAAAGAGAGATACTAATCCGCGTTATGTCGGAACGCAGAAGAGCCGTCTGAAGAGTCTTTGATTCAAACTTTATACTTTTTTGCCGAATGAATGCATCGATATGAATGTAGTTTTACAGAGTTAAAATATGAACATTCATGAATGTTTTGCGCTACACAATTCTACAGAATAATTACATTTTTTTATTTACCAACGTTCGGTAAAATAAATTCTTACTTTGCCAGCGGTCGGTAAATAATTGTATTTTTCATATTACACAACTGTTTGGCGTTAACGATTCATTAATGATTGTACTTTCAACGTAGAGTTCTCTTGGCTGATTATCCAAGAGCCTCAAGAAATTTTGACGAATTAAGTTTTAAATTTTAAAGTAACATACAATTTTCAGGGTGTCATTTCTCGCTTCTGACGTCACGATTCGATCACGGCGAGTAGCCGATATTATTTAATTTAGTGTTATTACTGTTAACTAATGTAAAATCACTGTTAAATTGAGATTTCGAAATTTTTTGTTTTCTGCATTTCTTATGATTCTGTTTAAAAAATTGATTCACTGTTTGTCGCAATAATATATCCCTGCAAGTTTAAACGTAAAAAAGAATATCACATAAACACTTTATCGCAGTTATCATTACATAATATACTGTGTTATATACTGTAGTAAACAATCATTAAATATTGATGTTTCAGTCAATAGGAGGTGATCCTCTTCGGTGGCTGCATTCGGTAGTTCGTCATTGAGACTCTGTTCTCTGATTCTGGCTTTTAATTGCCTTGATACACTAATAACTGCGATAAGACTTTTAGTTCTTTTTTCTTCTTGTATTTTGAGTTTGTCCCTAGAAAGAGTCGTCTTTAACATATACAGTGTTTCTTTTTCGCCACGAGTTCATCAAAATGTTCGTGATTGAAGAAAAGAAGAAGAAATGATGAAATATGCTATATGAAAGAGAGATTTCATTAACTTTCGCGTACAATGCAGGAAGAAATTACGCTTGATTTCTTGCCTCTGATGTTATAATCCAATATAACTGCAGCAACTGGTCCAGAGCGCTATAGGTCGAAAACATGTGACTATCTCAGCCATCTTAGTTGCGATGTCAAAAGCGAGGAAATTACGAGGAAGTATACGCGAACGAATCTTGGAACTTACATCTATATAAACGGCTTTTCGCCGAAGGAGCTGCTCCAAATTGATAAAGCACACTTATGAAGCGTATCCTGAAGTTTCCTATCCGGCTGCGCTATAGGATTTTGATGAGAACGGAATTTCCTACACACAGCGCGCGGAATTATTTCATTATTTGATTCGATACTTTGGTCTCATCTTTATTGTAAATTTAATAATGAAATATGCAAGGGAATGAGATGATATTATTTCAGGGAGTAGCACAGCTGAATCGAGACTGTTTAGCTTCAGGTTTATTGTATCCTTTCGCAAAATATATTAAATTTTCTAAACATTTCCTCGGGAATCGGCTTTTCATTTCTTTATGGAGATATGAATTCCTTACAACAATCAAGATGTTACACGTACTATATATACACAATATTCACATTATATTCGTATAGAACCGCTTACAGTCGATGCATTATGTAAAAGTAAGACTTCATATGTAAGAAAATGATGAAACGAGAAACTCTTTGGCCATTGTCACGAAAATATCACTTCTATCGGCAACGAAAGCTCCAAGTATCCGACTTCCAAGCGTTAATGCTCAGGTACCTGTATGGGGTCTCCTTTCTAGTTTGCACGAAATGCTTCTTTACCTCAAAACCATCCTTGAAGATTCTTAATTCGTTTTACTTATGACATTTACAGATGCGCAAAATTTTCCTCTTATTTATCGCACAGTTAAGACTAGTACCGTATTAACATTTATTCTAATTGTAGCGTTAATGATTTTTGTTTCACGATTGCGTTGCAAAGAAATGAGTATTAGTATACAGCTGATCAATGTAGAGGATGTTATTGGAAGAAAGTGTTCAATACTTTGCGCAAAGGCTTATGGTACTCAATAAATTAAAAAAGGACCAGTCAACATAAATCTGCGCATCAATCCTTTCAGGATCAACAGCGATTTTTTTTGCAATATAAAAGCAGAAAATTGTTATACCTAACAATAAGTTTTTTTTTAATACGAAATTATTTTATTTATTTTTTTGTTATTTTAACTTGTTACGAGTGGCCTTCTGTGTATTGTCCTTCTATTTTAATGTTTACTTGACATCGTCATCATCATATAAAAAATCTTAGAGGGCAAATATTTAAATATAAAATAATTTAATATTTTAAATAATGATTTTAATAAAAAAACTTGAATACGTATCAAACAAATGTGAGAAAGAAATTTAATAGAAAGTGAGTACTACAAGTTTGCAAAGTTTTGAGTCGCCTTTCAATGACATCGTATATTTAAAATCACGTTGCGTTAATGTTAAAATATATTAAAATATATTAATATATTAAACAAACCGCATTATATTCGAAACAATTGGCAAGAACATTAACACATTAACTAATAACGCTAGAGTATAAAAACGACGATCGAATGATCATTGATATGATTCCTCTTTTTGAAATATTTAATTTAAACATGATAGTTTTCGCTCAGTTGCGCTTTAGTTGAGATTTATTGTGAAGAGAATCATACCACACTTTATTATATAGATCTCGATTACGTATTGATCGACATCAAAATTAAGTTCGTCCAGTTAAAGGGGGAGTGGGTTGGTAACTTGAAAAGAATTCATATTTTGTTATTTCTTTGCATTACTTTTTCAAGTACAAAGTGTACTGAATACTTGCATAAATCAGATAAAAAATAATAGTTATGTAGTTTTTAATGTTATGGAATTAATATCTTTAAAAACTATCCAATTCATCTCGTTGCAATTTTTATAGCATTTTTAATAAATTAAATAACTCGAAAAAGAGCAATTATCCTTGGCCTGATCAATCTATTATCCCCCTTCAACGTCCGTCCCACTTTCACAATTCGGTCAATTCTGTTTTTGTTAAGAAAATAAATCATTTTAGTAAATTCCAAGTTATAGGTCTCAGGCGATAAACTGCCTCTGTAAATTCTCTTTTTAGTATTTAAGTGGGACGACACAGTGATACTTCTTTATTTCGGCGAATTCATAGTGTCAAATTTTGTGCCGTTTAATTATATTACTTCTCCCACGATTTTTCAAGAACCTCCAAATTACGTGCTGCCCGCCACAGTTGCAATAATTTGCGTGTTAACGCTTTGAGTATTGGTGTCTGCAAGCGTTGGTTACATAAAGACATTAATTTGTGTCCCCTGTCCTCAAAGTGTTAATTCAATTTACGTGACTTATCATGTAACTCATACCACTAATTCATCGAGTGGTGCGCTCGTAAATCACTGCTGCGCTTCTCGGAGCGTATCGACAAATAGTTCGACAGAATTTGTCGGGATATCCCATCGTCCACATCGCGAAGAAACTCGTTCTATACGTGGTCCCGTACGCGAGTAACCCTGTCCGATCGATGATCATCAACACTGCGTCTGGTCGCTTTCGTCGTGTAAGTCGCCACGCTTGATGAGCACCTGCGCGTGGTTGTTGTTACCATGATTACTGGTTCGACTGGTGGCGATCATCTGCATGGCTTGGTGTTGTTGTTCCTGATGCTGAGCCTCGGTTAGCTTGCAGTCGTCCTGCGGCACCGTCGACGCTGCTGGTTGATAGTCACACCTTCTCCTCTCCCGCCATCGGACCTGCGGTCGAGCGGATAAACTGAAACAGCCAACGTTCCACAATGGACTCGACTCGGGCACGCTGCTGTCACTGGCACGATACGGACGGATCATGTCTATATACGCATACATATATAATTATTCTATCTCTCCCTCCCTTCTCTTTCTCCCTCTCGACCCTCCTATTCTCTCTCTCTCTCTCTCTCTCTCCCTCTCTCTCTCTCTCTC